AGCTGGCTGTTGGGAGCTTAGCAGAGGCTGCATGGTAGGAACAGGCACTCACAGGGGTGGGCTGGCACCTTGGCAGAGACTTGGCCAGTTTTGGGGATGCTGCCTTGAAGCAGAAAGAGAGGGAGGAAGGGGTAGAGAGATCTTAACTTCTCCTTCCCTCTCTTTCCGGTCTCCTGCCAGTCTTTGAATCTAACTGGAAGCCAGTGGCCAGGTAAATGTAATTGGGATCAGCCTCTTGCTACACTCAACAGATCAGGGGACAAGGCAGGAGGCACAGAGGCAAAGGACTGGTTCATATGCCAGGAAAAGGAATCTCTGACAGAAGTGGTTAATATTGCAGAGCTAAAGGAAAGCAAGGAGGTGAAGCACTTATTCCTCCTCTGCCCTCTGCCCCCTCCCATCCCATTCTATTCTGCAGAAAGCTGAGAATGGCTCTGCTGGCAGTTGCATCTCTATCACCAGGGTGAGCTGTCTCAGCATTGGATGCCTGGTGAGCTGTACATTAGGAGGAGGACCATAGGGTCCCTTTTCTGCAATTCCAACATCTAAAAGCCTCTGAAAACTCAGTGTGTGTTTATTTTATTTTTTAAATAACCCATTTAGTGGCCAAACCTGACCTCTCCTGAACTGTCATGAGGCTACTTACAATCTCTATTGATCTCTCTGAGACGTATTGCTCAGGAAGCATTAATGAATTTGATTGCATGGTGCCACACCAAACCCTGGAAGGGATATTATAAAAGGTAAGGGTATGGTGTAGGATATACTTCCTTTCTAAAATGCAAAGTAAAATCTGTGTTCTTAACACATCTGATCCAGAGGATTGAATAGGGGATTGTGAACCTGTGTTTTAACCTGACCAAGGGTGAATAAATGGAAACATGGCCCTATAACCATGCAGTTATAAGTCCATGACCACAGATCCTTGGCAAGAAGCTGTCTGTGCATGGGTTTCTGCTCAGTCCAATGGAGATGGTGACGCTGGCAGCAGTGATGATAGTGATGCTGAGGATGATGGTGCCTCTCTGGAATCATGGAGGGCTGAGCCAGCTTGGCCCTGGAGCCTGGCAGAACAGAACAGCCCACTGGTTCTGTGGAAGAGGAGACCTTGCTTAGTTAGGAGGCCTGGCACACGTAACATAGGGGCACCAAGAAGTTAATAGTGGAGCTGGAACCACGTATTTCCCATTTGCAGTGAATGATGTTTTAGGTCCGATTCTTTGGTTACGTTCAAACGTTTAAATACTCAACATTTAGATGGAAATAAAGGAAACCAGCAGGCGCGCACACAGGTGGATCTGCACTCTAGTCATATATGTATGTAGTATGTTGTGTGTGTGTGCACACGGGTACACACTATTCAGATATTTTTTTCCTTTGATCTTCAGGATAATCCTGTCAGATAGACAGGATGGCCATTACTATCCCCACTTTACAGATGTTCAAACCAAGGCTTGGTTTGGCCAATAACTAGCTTTGTGGCCATGGGCGAGAGCCTTAACTGTTCTGAACCTCAGTTGGAAAAATGAGTTCTTATGGGGTTTTGTAAATCAAAAGAAGTTAACACCTGCAACATTATTAGAACTGTGCTGGTGCACTCTGACATGGCACAAGTGGCAGTTCTTTCTGCCTCACCCTCCACCTGCAGGCAAGGGAAAAAAACTATAGGAAGTCACACAGCTCCTTCTTCCTCTGAAAAGGACATGCTTCATATAATGAAGACAATTCAGACTTGAATGACCTTCACTCTCTTTGTTTCGTGTGTGTGTGTGTGTGTGTGTGTGTGTTGTGTTGTGTGTTTTTTTTTCAACTTTAAGAGGAAGATCTTGAACTAATGCCACCTTGTGCTAATTTTTCTTTTCTTCAGAAATTGGTTCATGGTTTGCTGTAACTTTGGTGGCCTCTCTTGTCTTCCCAGGTCAGGATACAGTTTGATATTTTGTTTACCCACATCTGATGGGAGGGAAAGAGCCATCAACACCACACACAGAATTTGCTGCAAAAAGCAAGTTTATTTCTTGTCAGCACACGGGGGACTTGATTGATCATAATTCACTTCAGATGGGCATAATAAAATATTTTCTTTTTCTGAATATTTTGAAAGATTAATAGAGCTGCATTCTTAGGGAAGGTTTATTAATCCATAACTTATAGGAAACTCCAGAGAAAGAAGAGGTGAGATATGTTCTGTAGGTGCAGACGTCAGGCACGCCACCTCTGGATTTGAATTGCGCATACATTATTCAGTGAGCTACCTTCCAGGTGCATTACAGGTTTTTGATGTGTTGGTGACTGTGTCCTGGGCATGATTTAAACAAGCTGTTTATTTTATTTTTAAACTAGAGGCCCAGTGCACGAATTTGTACACTTGTGGGGGGGCATCTCTCAGCCCGACCTATGCCCTCTTGCAATCTGGGACCCCTTAGCGAATGGGATGTCTGCCTACCGGCTTAGACCTGGCAGGGAGTGGGCCTAAGCCAGCAGGGGGACATCCCTCGTGCAGTCTGGGAGCTCTCCTTACTGCCCACCTGCTTGCTGCTCATTACCACTTGGCTCACTGTTCCTTAGTGCTGCAGTAGAGGCTGGAGAGGCTCCCACCACCTCTAGTGCACTTGCCAGCCATGGGCCTCACTTCTGGTTGAGCAGTGCTCCCTCTGTGGGAGCACACTGACCATCAGGGGGCAGCTCCTGCATTGGGTGTCTGCTCCTGCTGGCCAGTGTGCATCATAGTGACTAGTCGTTCTGGTTATTCTGCCATAATGTTTGCTTAGGCTTTTATTATATAGACTAGTGACCTGGTGCACGAAATTTGTGCACAGGGGATTGGGGTGTCCCTCAGCCCAGTTGCACCCTCTCCCATCTGGGACCTCTTGGGATGTCTGACTACCGGTTTAGGGATTGGGCCTAAACTGGCAGTCAGACATCCCACTCCCAATTTGGGATCACTAGCTCTTAACCACTCACCTGCCTGCCTGCCCGATCACCCTTAACCACTCTGCCTGCTGGCCTGCTCACCCTAACTGTCCCCTGGTTGGCCTTCTTGTCCTCCTCTGCTCTCCCTCGCTGGCCTGATTGCCTCGAACTGCCCCCCATGCTGGTCTGCTTACCCCTAACTTCTGTCCCTGCCAGCCTGATCACCCCCAACTACTCCCCACTGCCAGCCTGCTTGCCCTCACTGGACTCCCCCACCAGCCTGATCACCCCCAGCTGCCCTCCTCTCCTGGTCTCATATCTCCTAATCGCCTCTGCCTCAACCCTGCCAGGCTTTGTATGGAAGGATGTCTGGAAAGTCTCCTGGAAGGTCTTTAGCATATTACCCTTTCATTAGTATAGAAGATAGAGGCCTGGTGCATGGGTGAGGGCCCTGAAGAGAGTCCTGGGTCAGAGTGGGGGGTCCACTTGGGGGTGGGGTGTGCCTGATCAAGGGGCTGAGGGTCATTTGCAGGCTGGCCATGCCCCCATTGGGGTGAGGGTCCCTTCTGGGGGGGGGTGACCTGCCTGAGGGCCATTTGGGGGCAGTTTGCAGACCAACCAAGCTCCTGGCTTTGTCTGGAAGGATGTCTGAAAGGTCTCCAGAAGGTCTCTAGTCTAATTAGCATATTACTCTTTTATTAGTATAGACTAGTGGCCCAGTATATAAAATTCGTGCACATTAATAGGGAATTTATTAGAGGAAATAATTTAATATTGCTATTTGCCCTTTCCCTATAATAGAAGTGTCAGAGATGAAAGAAAATTTGTAAAATGTATATGAAAACCTTCCTTCTGTCAGAGTCTCAGGCACACCACGGGACCCAGAATCAAGTCCTCGCCCACCCACATATGCCTCAAAATCGCATGAGACCCAGAACCGGCATCCCCCACTCCAATCGGGTTAGATCAAGACCCTATTAGTTCCACCCTTGTCAAGCCTTGCCAGGCAGGGGGCATAGCCTCGGGTCGCCTGGCCTGGCCCCAAGATAGGGGTTGTGGCCTGAGATCCTCCAGCCCAGACCGGGGTGGGGGGCGTGCCTTGAGGTCCTCCATCAAGCCCTGCCAGGTGGGGGACATGGTCTGAGATCCCCTTTCAAGCCCTGCTGGGTGGAGGATATGGTCTGAGGTCCCCTGTAAAGTCCTACCAGGTTGGGAGCACAACCTCAGGTCCCCCGGCCCAGCACTGGGAGGGAGGCACAGCCTCAGGTCCCCCATCAAGCCCTTCTGGGTGGGGGCATGGCCTGAGTTCCCCTGACCCAGCACTGGGGATGCACCTTGAGGTCCCCTGTCAAGCCCCACTGGGTGGGTGGCACAGCTTGAGGTTCCCTGTCAAGTCCAGCCAGGCAGGGGGGTGCAGCCTCTGGTCCCCTGGCCTGGTGCTGGGGCAGGAGGCAAGGTGTTTGGTCCCCTGTCAAGCCCCGCCAGGAAAGGGGCATGGCCTGAGGTCCCCCGGCCTGGTGCTGGGGCAGGGGGAGCAGCCTGAGGTCCCCTAACCCAGCAGCAGGATGGGAAGCGCACCTTGAAGTGCCCTGTCAAGCCCCATGGGGGGGTGGCGGGGGTGGAGGTTGAGGTGGGAGAGGGTATACCCTCAGTTCCCTGCTTATTGCTCATTAAGGCTACTTATGGGAACTTGTCCTCAGCAGTGGGTGCAGCCATCTTTGTGACGGAGTGATGGTCAATTAGCATATTCTCTTTATTAGATAAGATTGGGAGGATGGGAAATAGTAGGCGGCAGCATATAGAATAATTACAGTCTTCAGGATGCCAATCCTTCCCATCCCCCTGCCTGTGCTGCAGTTATGTTAGACACAGAGGCCTGAATGTGGTCCTGGCCCCTTGGCATAAAGCTGCCTAGTGATGCTGATGATGATAAGGAGGAGGATCATGGTGTCTCCCTGTCTGTTACAAGATTTAATGATTTATGGGAAAGGACTTTATGTTCTATCATCTCATCCATTTACTCAGCATGTATTGATACTGGCACAGGGGTGGGCTCCATGGTGATAACCATTAAAAAGACACAGGCTACCCCCTCACAGTGGGCAAGGAGACACCTGATTGGTGGTGTTGCTCTTGTATCATTCAGGAGCAAAGCAGTCCTTAGTTCATCCTAGTTTGATGCCTGTGTTGGTGGCCAGAGCTGTTTCATGCCTGAGGCACATATTATATATTAAAAAAAAAAAAAAAAAAGACACAGACTCTCACCTTATGACTCAGAATTAGTCTGAGAAGCACAGATGAATAGGTAATAATATGGTGGCTAAGTGTAACCAAAAAAGTATTAGCTGAGATAAAAAATAAGACAGATGGATTTTGCCAGGGTAAGGAAGGGCCAGCATCTAAGTTAAATATTTTGAAGCAACTTGAAATTTGCTGGTGAGTCTCTCTCTCTCTCTTTTTTTTTTTTCTAATATATTTTATTGATTTTGTACAGAGAGGAAGGAAGAGAGATAGAGAGTCAGAAACATCGATGAGAGAGAGTCATCGATCAGCCACCTCTTGCACACCCCCCACTGGGGATATGCCCGCAACCAAGGTACATGCCCTTGACCGGAATCGAACCTGGGATTTTTCAGTCCCCAAGCCGACGCTCTATCCATTGAGCCAAACCAGTGCCAGCTGGTGAGTCTCTTATGCAATAAACGTGTTCTGAGTATTGTGATGGACTTACAGGGTGAGGGTGACAGGAACTACAGTTGCTTACCTTGTGTGTACAGCAAGCATGTCAACTCGTGGCCCTTGGGCTGCAGCCTCATTTATTTGGCCTGTGTTAGCCTTTGAGTTTGACATGCTTGGTGTATAGTCTACCAGGAAAGACACAAAATGGATGAAGGGGGCATGCCCTAGGTCAGGGGACTACGACAAAGATGGGCACTACTATGTGTGGGGAGCCCTGAGTCAGTGATTATGAATGGATCACAAAGGGGTGGGATGGCAGGAGCCAAGGAAAGTGAATGTGGGAAGCTAAGCAGAGCCAGCTCTTGGAACACCTTACCACCTATTGTTTACCTGAGACTGTGATTGGGTAAAGTAGCCTTTCTTAGTATCACCTTCTCTGTACTTCCTGGATTCTTCCATTGACTTGGGTCAAAAAGCAGTCTAAAGACAACTATGGTTATATTTAACTAGTGACTTGGTGCACAAAATTTGTGCACATTGAAAGGGGATTAATTAGAGGAAATGATTTAATATTGCTATTTGCCTTCTCTCTATAGTAGAAGTGTCAGAGATGAAAGAAAATTAGAAAAATGTATATGAAAACCTTCCTCTTGCCAGAGTCATGGGACCAGAGTCAATTCCCTGCCCACCCACATGCACCTCAAAATTGCATGAGATCCAGACCCAGCTGGATCCAGACCCACCAGTCCCTCCCTTGTCAAACCCTGCTGGGCAGAGGCCATAACCTCAGTTCCCCTGGCCAGGTGCCAGGACGAGGGGTGTTGCCTGAAGTCCCCCAGCCCAGACTGGAGCGAGGGGACTTGCCTTGAAGTTCTCCATCAAGCCCCACCTGAGTTCTCCTGTTAAGCCCATGTAGTGGAGGGACGGCCTGAGGTCCCCTAGCCAGCACCAGGTTGGGAAGCTCACCTTACGGTACCCTGTCAAGCCCTGCCCAGTGGAGGTTTTGGCCTTAGGTCCCCTGTCAGCCCTGCCAGGTGGGGGACACTGCTTGAGGTCCACTGTCAGGTCACTGCTGATTTCTCATTAAGGCTCCTTATGGAAACTTGTCCTCAGCTGTGGGTGCAGCCATCTTTGTGATGGAGTGATGGGAAATTTGCATATTCCCTCTTTATTAGGAGGATTAGGTGAAGTGAGGATGTGTATGTGTCAGGTATGGTGCATTAATGTTGTCTCCAGGTGTAAGAACTACATGCTCAGGTGCCTACAAGGGCCATGTGTGAGTGAAACTGTCAGGAGGACAGGTTGGGGAGCACTGGGTAAGCAGATAGTTGCAATGAAAGAATGCTGGACCAAAGTAGCCAGTTGTTTCACCTTTTCAAGAAAAGCTAGACATCTTAGTTTTTAAAGGTGAAATCTCTCTATTTAAAAAGTTAGCACTAAGGTAAAATAATATTGAATATTAGCTGTAACTTAAAAATAAGAAAAAAGCCAAAACCAGTTTGGCTCAGTGGATAGAGTGTCAGCCTGTGGACTGAAAAATCCCAGGTTCGATTTCAGTCAAGGGCATGTACCTTGGTTGCGGGCACATCCCCGGTGGGGGTTATGCAGGAGGCAGCTGATCAACGTTTCTCTCTCATTGATGTTTCTAACTCTCTATTCCTCTTCCTTCCTCTCTGTAAAAAATCAATAAAATATATTTAAAATAAAGAAAAAAAAATAAGTAAAAATTTGTCACTAAGTCGATTAAAACAACAAATAAAATACATTTGTAGACTAAAGATAATTGGACTTTAGGATTTTTTTTAAAGCTCAGGAAACATCCATTGGTGAATTCTGACCTCTTCATAATTAGAACATGATGGTTACATAAACTCCCTCAGATGGAAGTTCAGTCAATCTACTAAGTGGTAACTTGGCCAATTTTGGTAAAGGAAAATTTCCCTATGACAGTTTAATGGTGGAAATCGGTCCTCATTTATGTTTGTGTTTCAACAATCATCTTGTTGTTCTTGATCAAATGCTTCTGAATAGGGTAGAACTACAGTAAAATCAGTGTCCATGGCAATTCTGGTGTGTTTTTAGCTGTTTGCTGGACAGCACTGAGAGGTTTGTTTCTGTCTGCATCTACAGCCGCCTTAATTAAGCTGGTTATGTACGGCTGCCCTGCATTGAGTCAAATGCGTCCTCTCAGGGTCTGTCAGTGACAGGGTTCTGTGCCTTTCTCATTTAGGGTTGAGACTCCCAGTCACTAAAATATGCACATTTCAAATCAGAGTGAGCACATGAGCAACTTAGTAGTTATTGTGGAATTGAGTGGATGTCATAAATATTTATTTATCTTTTTCATAGTTGGCATAAAAATGTTAGGATATAAAAAAGTTGTTCACTATAAAAACAACAGAAAATTCATTGGCTATACATCTCCGGAGTGCGTGTGTCTCCTTGGGTTTTCATTAGTGTCTAGCAATATACTTTGAGAAATTAGATTTGAACAGAGGCTCCAGCAGAATCTGAAAGCTCCCAGTATTCATAATTAACCCGTTATCAGCAAGGATCCATTGCCTACTGCAGTCATTTTTTAACCAAACAGTGGTTGTAGTCAAATTCAATGAATTTTTCTTTCAGAGTTTTTTTTTTTCTTTAAAAATAATCTTCTGTTTAGTGATTTTGGAAAATTACAAAAGAATATAAGAGAGAAAATGCCACTTCTAATATTTCTTCGCAGAGGCATCACTGTCAGTGTTTTGCAGAGATAAAGAGGCTAGGATTTGAAGTCAGACCAACATTGGTTTTAGTCCAGACTCCTCCCTTAATTTAATCTTGGCAAGTCTTATTTTTCTCATGTATAAAATAAATAAAAATATTATCTATTTTATTTTATTTGATATTTTGATTATTAACCCAGATAATGGATAATGCATATTAAGCATTGAAAACGTTCCTTGGCACATAGGACACATTTATATATATATATATATATATATATATATATATATATATATATATATATAATTTTATTGATTTTTTACAGAGAGGAAGTGAGAGGGATAGTTAGAAACATCGATGAGAGAGAATCATTGATCAGCTGCCTCTTGTACACCCCCAACTGGAGATGTGCCCACAACCAAGGTACATGCCCTTGACCGGAATCGAACCTGGGATTTTTCAGTCCACAGGCTGATGCTCTAGCCATTGAGCCAAACCAGTTTCGGCTAGAACACATTTTTAAAATGAGCTATTATGATCACTTTTTATATTTTTTTTTTGTATAAACATCTCTATGGAGTTCGTGTAGTCAATATACTTTTTCTTTTTTTGTAAATTGTTCTCATATCTCTTTAAAGAACATTCTCTAAAAGTTCTTTTTAACAGTCATATAGCATTTCATCACATACCTGTGTCATCATTTAACTCTTTCCCTGTATATTTAAGTTATTGCTAATTTTTTTTATTATAAATAATTTTGAATGAATATTTCCATTCATCAGTCTTTTGTGACAGCTTGATTTTGGTGAGAACAGTGACAACATCCCACATCTGGAATGGGCAGAATATTGCAGGCATTTTCCATTGGAGCTTTTGGGAATGTTCTGTGTCACTGTCAAATTAGCCACATATGGCTATTGAGCATTCTAAATGTCATCCATGTTTTAACAAACTGAATTAAAAAAATTAACACTATTTAATTTTAGTTTAAATAGCCCCATGTGGCTAGTTGCTACCATATTGGACAGCATGGGCTTATAGTGCTCTGGTGTAAAGTGTGGAGCAGACGTGGCTACAATTTTTTTTTATTTTTTTTTATATAGACATACCCATGGAACATTTAGCTTTTACTTTTGGCCTTTTAACCTCTGGTATATAGTCTCAAGGTATTGTATTTTTCCTTTCTGTATAGACATCCTGTTTCTTTTGATAGAGGGTTGATGGAGGGTGTCTCTCATGCCTGCTACCATGTTAAATTAGAAGTCTGCATTTAAACTGTTGACTCTGTGCGGACTCTTCAGGTTGATAGTGACAAGAATTGAGCTCAGTGTGACTTCAGTCAAAAAGGGAATTTCTTGGCTCATGTAACCAAGTCAAATGTGGTCTGGTTAGAGCAGAGGGCTCAACCAGTTCTACTTTCTCTGTGTTGACTTTGTGAGAAAGCTCTCCCAAAGCAGGGACAAACTTGGCCACCAACAGTACAGGGTTACATCCACCTAGTTTAGCAGCCCTGGCATGAGGAGAGAGCCTTTAGTCCAGGATATTCACAGAATAGTGTAGGGCTGACTCTCATTCCTGAAACAGCAACTGTGGTCAGGGTTGGGAGGTAGAATTCATGGCCAGTGGCTACCTATGGAGCCAGATGGTGAGGTCAGCCACACCCAACAACAAGAACTAAAATTGAAATAAGAGGATGATACCCCAAAGGAAAATCAAAGTGGGAAATGCGTGCATGGCAGGTGGCAGATGCTATACAACTGATGCTTATGGCACTGTCTTGGAAGCATTCTTGGTTCCCTCAGTTCTCCTCTTAGGAAAGTCACTTTGTTGGAAGAGGTG